TGTATAATACCTGGTGCACAGTAGGTATGTAATGAATTGTATTAGCTGAAAGAATAAATGAATAAACATATACTTAACCAATACTCGGTAAATTGAATATTGTTTTCTGAAGTGAAAAGAGGTTGGAGTTGAACTCCCTTCTCTATCTAATTGGGAAATAAATGAAAACATTCACCACCATATATGAAATTGCTTTATATTTATTTTAATTCTTGATTAACTTATTTTAGTCAACCAGTATATGTCATGATTTATACAAGACCTTATTCAAAGCACATGTGAATGGCATATATGAGAAGATAACAGCAGTTACCAGAAAAGACGGTGACATCAAATCTATACCCAGGGCATGACCACCATTGGACTATGAGAAAAAAATTGAGAAAATAAAAACTTAAAAGACGTGAGGCAAGGCAATTACTTGTAGTTTTTAAAGTTATTAGTAGAGTACAAATACAGACTATTTCAGTATATAGTCAGCACATTATCATTAAAAAGCTGATGAAACAGCTTTACTCTAGAAGCCATGGCAAAGGGAAAAGAAATAAAAATACCTTAAAAATGATTTTTCCTCACAATCAGAAAAGACGGCATGCCTGAGTGATAGGGAAAAAATGGCTTAGAACAATACAAAATACCAGACAGGCAGGTGAGTATGAAAGTTAATATTTAGAAATAAGAAAGTAATGCAAAAAAAAGCAGAGTTGCAATTCTCATCTTTGATAAAATAGACTTTAAAGCAACAAAGATCATAAGAGACAAAGAAGGCCATTACATAATGGTAAAAGGAGCGATACAACATGAAGAGCTAACGATCCTAAACATATATGGACCCAATACAGGAGCACCCACATACATAAGGCAAGTTCTTAATGACTTACAAAGAGACTTAGACTCCCACACAATAATAGTGGGAGACTTTAACACTCCACTGTCAATATTAGACAGATCAACCAGACAGAAAATCAACAAGGATATCCAGGGCTTGAACTCAGACCTGGAGCAAGCAAACCTGATAGACATTTACAGAACTCTCCACCCAAATCCACAGAATATACATTCTTCTGAGCACCACATCACACCTACTCTAAAATTGACCACATAATTGGAAGTAAAGCACTCCTCAGCAAATGCAAAACAACTGAAATCATAACAAACAGTCTCTCAGATCATAGTGCAATCAAGTTAGAACTCAGAATTCAGAAACCAACCCAGAGCCGCACAGCTTCATGGAAACTGAACAACTGGCTCTTGAATGTTGACTGGATAAACAATGAAATGAAGGCAGAAATAAAGAAGTTCTTCGAAATCAATGAGAACGAAGACACAACATGCCAGAATCTCTGGGACACATTTAAAGCAGTCTCTAGAGGAAAATATATAGCAATAAGTGCCCATATGAGGAGAATGGAGAGATCCAAAATTGACACCCTATCGTCAAAATTGAAAGAGCTAGAGGAGCAAGATCAAAAAAACTCAAAACCCAGCAGAAGACAAGAAATAACTATGATCAGAGGTGAACTGAAGGAGATAGAGACACGAAAAACCCTTCAAAAAATCAATAAATGCAAGAGCTGGTTTTTTTGAAAAGATCAACAAAATAGACAGACCGCTAGCCAGATTGATTAAAAAGAAAAGAGAGAACAACCAAATAGATGCAATAAAAAATGATAAAGGGGAAATCACCACAGATTCCACAGAAATTCAAACCATCGTCAGAGAATATTACAAACAACTCTAGGCACATAAACTAGTAAACCTGGAAGAAATGGATAAATTCCTGGACTCCTGTGTCCTCCCAAGCCTAAACCAGAAGGAAGCTGAAACTATGAATAGACCAATAACAAGGTCAGAAGTCGAGGCAGCAATTAAGAGCCTACCACACAAAAAAAGCCCAGGTCCAGATGGGTTCACAGCCAAATTCTACCAGACACACAAAGAGGAGCTGGTACCATTCCTTCTGAAACTATTCCAAATAATCCACAAAGAGGGAATCCTTCCCAAATCATTTTATGAGACCAATATCATCCTGATACCAAAACCCGGCAGAGACCCAACAAGAAAAGAAAACTTCAGGCCAATATCCATGATGAACATAGATGCAAAAATCTTCAATAAAATATTGGCAAGCCGATTGCAACAGCAAATCAAAAAACTTATCCATCATGATTAAGTAGGATTTATCCCAGGGATGCAAGGCTGGTTCAACATATGCAAGTCTATAAACGTAATTCACCACATAAACAGAACCAAAAACAAAAACCACATGATTATCTCAATTGACACAGAGAAGGCATTCGACAATATTCAACAGCGCTTTATGCTAAAAACCCTCAATCAACTCGGTATCGATGGAACGTATCTCAAAGTAATAAAAGCTATTTACGACAAACCAACAGCCAATATCATACTGAATGGGCAAAAACTGGAAGCATTCCCTTTGAAATCCGGCACTAGACAAGGATGCCCTCTTTCACCACTCCTATTCAATATAGTACTGGAAGTTCTAGCCAGAGCAATCAGGCAAGAAAAAGAAATAAAGGGTATTCAAATAGGAAAGGTGGAAGCCAAATTGTTTTTATTTGCAGACGACATGATAGTATACCTGGAAGACCCCATCGCCTCAGTCCAAAAACTCCTGAAACTGATAAGCAACTTCAGCAAAGTCTCAGGATATAAAATCAATGTGCAGAAATCACAAGCATTCCTCTACACCCATAACAGACTTAAAGAAAGTCAAATCAAGAACGAACTGCCATTCACAGTTGCTACAAAAAGAATAAAATACCTAGGAATACAACTCACAAGGAACGTAAGGGACCTCTTCAAGGAAAACTACAAACCACTGCTCAACGAAATATATAAGAGAGGACACAAACAGATGGAGAAACATTCCATGTTCATGGTTAGGAAGAATTAATATCGTGAAAATGGCTATACTGCCCAAAGTAATTTACAGAATCAACGCTATCCCCATCAAGCTACCATTGACTTTCTTCACAGAACTGGAAAAAACCACCATGAACTTCATATGGAACCAAAAGAGAGCCCGCATAGTCAAGTCAATTCTAAGCAAAAAGAACACAGCAGGGGGCATCACACTACCGAACTTCAAACTATACTACAAGGCTACAGTAATCAAAACAGCATGGTACTGGTACCAAAACAGAGATATAGATCAATGGAAGAGAATAGAGGCATTGGAGGCAACACAACATAGCTACAACCATACAATCTTTGATAAACCTGACAAAAACAAACAATGGGGAAAGGATTCCCTGTTTAACAAATGGTGTTGGGAAAACTGGCTAGCCATGTGCAGAAAGCAGAAACTGGACCCCTTCCTGACACCTTACACTAAAATTAACTCCAGATGGATTAAAGACTTAAACATAAGACCTGGCACCATAAAACCCTAGAAGGAAATCTAGGCAAAACCATCCAGGACATAGGAATAGGCAAGGACTTCATGAACAAAACACCAAAAGCATTGGCAACAAACGCCAAAATAGACAAATGGGACCTAATGAAACTCCACAGCTTCTGCACAGCAAAAGAAACAGTCACTAGAGTGAATCGGCAACCAACAGAATGGGAAAAAATTTTTGCAGTTTACCCATCTGACAAAGGGCTGATATCCAGAATTTACAAAGAACTCAAACAGATTTACAGGAAAAAAACAAAGAAGCCCATTCAAAATTGGGCAAAGGATATGAACAGACACTTTACGAAAGAAGACATATATGAGGCCAACAATCATATGAAAAAATGCTCATCGTCACTGGTCATCAGAGAGATGCAAATCAAAACCACATTGGGATACCATCTCACGCCAGTTAGAATGGCGATCATTAAAAAATCTGGAGACAACAGATGCTGGAGAGGATGTGGAGAAAAAGGAACACTTTTACACTGTTGGTGGGAGTGTAAATTAGTTCAACCATTGTGGAAGACAGTGTGGCGATTCCTCAAGGCCTTAGAAATAGAAATTCCATTTGACCCAGCAATCCCATTACTGGGTATATATCCAAAGGACTCTAAATCATTCTACTATAAGGACACATGCACACGAATGTTCATTGCAGCACTGTTTACAAGAGCAAAGACCTGGAATCAACCCCAATGCCCATCGATGATAGACTGGATTGGGAAAATGTGGCACATATACACCATGGAATATTATGCAGCAATCAGAAATGATGAGTTTGTGTCGTTTGTAGGGACATGGATGAATCTGGAGAACATCATTCTCAGCAAACTGACACAAGAACAGAAAATGAAATAGTGCATATTCTCACTCATAGGCGAGTGATGAAAAATGAGAACACATGGACACAGGGAGGGGAGTAGTAAACACTGGGGTCTATTGGGGGGAAAAGGGGAGGGCCAGAAGGGGGCGGAGCTGGGGAGGGATAGCCTGGGGAGAAATGCCAAATGTGGGTGAAGGGGAGAAAGGAAGCAAAACACATTGCCATGTGTGTACCTATGCAACTGTCTTGCATGTTCTGCACATGTACCCCAAAACCTAAAATGAAATAAAAAATTAAAACAAAACAAAAAAAAAAAGAAATAAAAAAAAGAGAAAGTAATGCAAATTTAGAGCTCTCAATCCTCTAAATTACAGTCCTAGTGATTTTGGCTCCCTTGAAAACCTATAGGTAGTGAATGTGTAGGAAAAATTTAAATGATGTAGCTGGGTAGGTCAAGTCTCAACATTATATTAATCTAGCTTGGAACATGCACTTCAAGTTGTAAATATATAATGAACTTATAAGTAATACTGGGTGACTATCAACAATAATAAAATGTTTATCCAATAACTCTCAACCAAATCAAAGATTATTTACTAATAATGCCAGTATAACTAACTATTCAGTACTGAATGTAGTTCTTTCACCTTTCAAATAGGAAAATGTTCATATTATTCAAATTATTTGAGAAAACTGTAAAGTGAACACAAGACTCTTTCTTATTCTATTGCCGTACTTATTCTTTTTTGTGTGCCAATTTTAAATAGTTTTATTTAAGACATTGCATTTTTCACTTAGAATACAGTGTTTATAAAGTGCAATGTTATTTCCTTCCCAAGTGCATATGTTCCATATTCAAGTATTGAGAATGCCCAGTAACTTACTATAGCAGCTGAACTTTTTAAAACTGCCACAGAATTTGCTACAAATTTAGGTCCTGCAGTGTTTTACATGTGTGGAACATTTCTACTTCTATACTTGGGTTGGCTTAATCAACCTCTTCAATGGTGGGCCCTGAGGAAGCACCACCAGAGGGAGGAACTCCACCACCAGGGAATCCCCCAGGCATTCCTCCTGGCATGCCTCCTGTACTCTGGTACAGCTTGGTGATGATGGGGTTGCAGACTTCCTCCAGCCCTTTCTGCTGATGTTCAAATTCTTCCTTCTCAGCAGTCTGATTCTTATTGAGCCAGTTGATAATTTCATTACACTTGTCCAGAATCTTCTCTGTTTGTCCTCATTGTTAATCTTGCATTGAAGTTTCTCATCTTTGACAGTTGCTGTCATGTTGAAAGCATAGGACTCAAGTAAACTCTTAGATGATACTTTGTCCGTCTGCTTCTCATCTTCAGCTTTGTATTTCTCAGCTTCCTGGACCATGCATTCAATGTCTTCCTTGCTCAAACAGCCCTTGTCATTAGTGATAGTAATTTTGTTCTCTTCTCCTGTACTCTTGTCTACAGCAGACACATTGAGGATGCCATTGGCATCAATGTCAAAAGTGACTTCAATCTGAGGAACACATTGGGGTACAGGAGGTATGCCTGTGAATTCAAACTTGCCAGGCAGGCTGTTATCCTTGGTCATGGCACACTCACCTTCATAAACCTGAGTAAGCACATCAGGCTGGTTGTTAGAATAGGTAGTGAAGGTCTGTGTCTGCTTTGTAGGAATGGTAGTATTATGCTTGATGAGGACAGTCATTACTCCACCAGCAGTTTCAATACCAAGGGAAAGAGGAGTGACATCCAAAAGCAGCAAATCTTGAACATTTTCAGACTTGTCTCCAGACAGGATGGTGGCCTGGACAGCTGCACCATAAGTAACAGATTCATCAGGGTTGATGCTCTTATTCAGTTCTTTTCCATTGAAGAAGTCTTGGAGAAGCTTCTGAATCTTGGGGATGCGAGTAGAACCACCAACCAGGACAGTATCATGATCTGTAACTTGTCTAGTTTGGCATCTTGAAGGGCCTTCTCTATGGAATCCAGGGTGCCATGGAACAGGTCAGCATTCAATTCTTCAAATTGGGTATGGGTAATGGAGGTACAGAAGTCGATTCCTTCATAGAGAGAATTGATCTGAATACTGGCCTGGGTACTGGAAGAGAGAGTACACTGAGCACACTCACAAGCAGTATGGAGGTGTCTTACTGCTCTCTTGTTCTCACTTATGTCCTTCTTATGCTTGTGCTTGAACGCAGCAATAAAATGGTTAATCATTTGGTTACCAAAATATTCTCCACCCAAGTGGGTGTCTCCAGCTGTAGACTTGACCTCAAAGATTCCATCCCCAATAGTGAGGATTGACACATCAAAAGTGCCACCTCCCAGGTCAAAGATTAACACATTTCTTTCTGCTCCAACCTTTTTGTCTAAGCTGTAGGCAATAGCAGCAGCATTTGGCTCATTTATAATTCTAAGTACATTGAGACCAGCAATAGTTACAGCATCTTTGGTAGCCTGATGGTGAGAGTCATTAAAATAAGCTGGCACTGTGACCACAGCATTGGTAACAGTCTTCCAAGGCAGGCTTCTGCAATTTCCTTCGTCTTTGTTAGAACCATAGAGGATACCTCCTCTGGATAGAAGCTTTTGGTCTCTCCATTGTATTCTACTTGGACCTTGGGCCTGCCAGCATCATTCATCACCATGAAGGGCCAATGCTTCATATCAGACTGGACAACATCATCATCAAATCTGCGTCCAATCAGATGTTTGGCATCAAAAACCATGTTGGTGGGGTCCATTGCAACTTGATTCTTTGCGGCAACACCGGTCAATAGTTCAGTGTCTGCAAAGGTGACATAGCTTGTAGTGATTCAGTTTCCCTGATCATACACAAAGCAATTATTTCTACTTTTCCATGCTGGAAAACACCTATACAAGAGTAGGTGGTGCCAAGATCAATATGAACGGCAGGACCCTTCGACATGGTTGCTGGCATGTAGGCCTGGCCCCAACAATGAAGAAAGCCACAGGAATCCCGAGAGCTGCAGGAGAGTTCGATGAGTGCCATACTTATTCTTGCATAAATATAAATGCCATAGGGTATTTGATGAGTGTACTCAAGTTACTTCAAATTAAGCTTCAAGCATTGGCTCACTGTCCTTCTAAATGGTTTCTAATTCCTTTTAAGAAAAATGAATAGCAAGGTGGTGACATGCCGTAGTCCTACCCACTCTGGAGACTGAGGTAGGAGGATTGCATGAATCCAGGATTTTGTGCCTGTGAATAGCCACTGCACTCCAGCCTGGACAACATAGTGAAACCCCAGTGCTAAAAAACTAAAACAAAAAATAAAACCAAAAATAAAACTCCAAATTTCCATTTCACCTCTCCTCTTCTGGAGGCATTTCAATACTGTAAGCTATCATGATTCTATTCTCAAAGCAGGAGGAGTAGTTTTAAGCTTTTCATAAAATGTGCTTCTAAGAGGCCAAATCAGTATTTTCTCAACTTGGAGATCTTGAAACCACATTACTTCCTAGAGTTTTAAAAATAAGCTATGGAAGCTGATGTTAACTATTTCTTTGTATAATGTAACCACTCTGTATTCTCACCTGCAGGAAAAATTAAGAGGCTACAAACATGGTATTTAGTGACTTCCAATATCTCCCAGACTGATTTAGATGTTTCTCCCTCTATGGGTCCACAACACCTTTTGCATATCTTGTTAAAGAAAAAAATTATTCAATGATAGTTGTTACAGCATTGTAAGGAAGACTTTATTCAGGACCATTGTTAATAGGTACAGGAACCATTGCAATGAGGTCTTGCAGTAAGGGAGAGAGACTGGGCTCCCCTCCAAATACAACATAAGCAAGTGGGAATTTATGGCCAAGGGGTGGAAAATTACTAAGAGGAAACATCAGAGGTAGGGATTCTGACTAAACCATCCTAACAGGATTCTTGCTGAAGACAGGCCAGGGTGATTGGGTGTCACCTGGGGGTGGTAGAAGATGAGAAGCCTGATCAGATGTGAAGGATGATCAGATATCAAGGATAGGGGTTCCTGGCTAAACTGACTTAGCAGGGTTCTCTTCCTAAAACTGGATTTTACAAGGAAGTGCACAAATGGGCCTAGGAAAACGTTCAGAAGCTCACCTAAAGTTTGGCCAAGCAGAGACTTTTTGCTTGAAGTCAGTCTAGTTTTACAAAGAAAATTAATTCCAAAATCACATCCGTCCTAATAAAAGAAACTCAGGGTTTCAATTTCTTGTTATCAGATGCAAGTTACTTTCCTTCTAAAATTAGCGAAGTAATTTGGTCCAGAAAAAGGAAAGCTACATACAAAATGACTATTATAAAGGCAATTCAAACAATCTACTCCATGACTTGTTATATTATTTGTAAAAAGGCCATGAGCTCATGCAGGTTATGTAGAACTAAAGGTAAGTTAAACCATGTTAAATAATCCCTAGTTGTTTCATCACCTGACTCTCAGCTGAGATTGACAGTCTATGAAATTCCACCTGAAAATAAATGGCTCAAATTAAACTCAGGGTGTGAAACAAAATAAATGACCCAACTAAGTCTGATTCCAAAAGAATGTTCTTAAACATGGCAATATCCCAGCTAATGTCTCAAGTAGTATCTTACCTGCTTTATCTCACTTTTAACTGCATGATCCCAGTTCGTTCTGTTTTGGTTGCTCCAACAGCACCAATCTCATGGATAGAAATAGCAGGACTGACATTTGAATCAGTGGGACGAACTATATAATATGAGAGATTAAAGAGAAAGAGAGAGGATAATAAAGTTCCATTTCTCCCCCATCATGTTTAAAAAAACTTTGATATATATCCTTATTTTAACTTAATTTAAAAACTATAACCTTGCTATTTGAAATGTGGTCCATGGACCAGCAGCATCAGTACCGTCTAGGAAATTGTTAGTAGAATCTCAGGTCCCACTGCAGAGCTACTGAATCAGAATCTGCATTTTAGCAAGATCCCCAGCTTGAAACACACTGCTTTTTAACTTCGTTTTAGCACTCTAAGGTCTGACACCCATCCATCTGCCTGTATATCTATTTACCCTGACCCTGAAAGTTGAGCACAAGAGATGACTGCTTCTCATTTGCTTTGCTGCTTTAGGTATGTAATGCCAAATCAAATCAAAAACACAAATGCAGGTGGACTATTAATTTGTAAGTTTAAAATTGAAGGGATACATTAGATGTACCATAAGCAGCTACACACATACACACATAATACAACACTGTAAGAGCTACTGAATTATTGCCAATTAGAATACAAGAAAGTTTCAGATGATATGGGTTGCTAGTTGTCCTAAAGTGGAGACATAGGATAATGTGAGGAAATCAATAAAACAGTTAAAAATGATACATGGGCCGGGTGTGGTGGCTCACACCTGTAATCCCAGCACTTTGGGAGGCTGAGGCAGGTGCATCACAAGGTCAGGAGATTGAGACCATCCTGGCCAACATAGTGAAACCCCATCTCTACTGAAAATACAAAAATTAGCTGGGTGTGGTGGTGTGCGCCTGTAACCCCAGCTACTTGGGAGGCTGAAGCATGAGATTAACTTGAACTGGGAGGTGGAGGTTGCAGCAAGCTGAGATCGCGTCACTGCACTCCAGCTTTGTGACAGAGTGAGACTCCATCACAAAAGAAAAGAAAAGAAAAGAAAAGAAAAGAAAAGAAAAGAAAAGAAAGATGATAGCAGTAAATCCACTTAGCTGATATATCATTTAAGGAAAAATATAGTGGTTTCCAAATCTTGCTCCAGAAGACAGCTTGGTTTCTTTTTTTTTAATTTTTAATTTTAATTTTAATTTTTTAAAGATGGGATTTCTTCATGTTCGTCAGGCTGGTCTTGAACCCCCGCCCTCAGGTAATCCACCTGCCTCAGCCTCCCAAAGTGCTGGGATTACAGGTGTGAGCCATCGCGCCCAGCTGGTTTCTGTTTTATATATTTGAGTTTATTTATTTGGGGCAAAAGGCTCCTGTGATGAAGGAAAAACATTTAAAACCAACGAGACACTTAAACAAAACAGTATGAAATGAAAATGCAGTTATTTAATCTTACCACTTCGTTCCACTCCAAACTCCTTGCCGCTGAGAATGTGATGCAGGAGATTCTTCATGGCTGAAGGACTGAGATTCATCAGGCCCTCCATGGCTTCCTCAGCTAGTCAACAGAAATATTAGAACAGAAGGAGTTCTAATTTGCCTGCCATGCCCTCTCTATATTTTTTCTATTTGATTTCTTGCTTAGAATTTCTGAGTCACTTGATTGGAAGAACAGAATTACAAAATAAATTGGTAGCACCCTACTCCTTAGGTATTCTTACTACCATAGATTTTTAATTATTTAAGGACTGACTATCCAGTTTGTGGATTAGCCAGGTAATTGGTTTCTTCTTCGCATCCCCTCCACATCATTAGGGTACTTCGTCAAATCTTTATTTGAAGGTGGGAAGAATGAAAGAAGAACCATGGAAAGGGAGGCCATTCAGAGAAAAGCAATGAATGTATATATGCTGATAGACTAAAATAATTAAAACTTCTCAGTCTGGAAATAATAGAGACTTAGAATAGATTTGAATCCATGAAATTATGAATATAAGAGGAAAACTTGAACTTGTTAATCAGTGTTATACATTATTAAAAGTTGAATACATGCAGGTCATCATTTTAAGTAACATTAGTACAAGCAGGTATGGTGACATGATACCTAACCTTGAGAGTCTGACTATCTCTTTGGGAGTGATGGAACATGTAAACAAGATAAACAACAATAAAACATTGCATATACTATGTGCCAAATGAGAGGTACAGACAATAAGTGCCTTTGAAATCAATGGAGACATCAATTTCCAAGGACCGAGACTGACAAAGTGAGTGGGAAGTACTGTGGGAGTAGAAGATAAAGGCCAGACTGTTGAGGGTATTAAATATCAGACCCAGGGATCTTGACTTTATCCTATAAGGAATAAGAGCTGTGATTTTCATGAATCCATAGGAAAAGAAGAAATATAACAGGCAATTAAGGAAAAGTGAATATTCAGGGGCTTATCCCTTATTGAGGTTTATTATTGAGCAATCACACCCTCTTGTAAAACATCCCTTGATACCACAACTATAGAATACTATATAATGTTTATCTATAACAATGTACTGAACTGGAAACCATTTACAATCAGGTAGACCCGGACTCAAATTCCACTATTAGCTATGTTACTTTGGGGAAGTTAGTTAACCTTCTTGAGTTTCAGTTTCTTTATTGGTAAAAGTGACACAATAATACCTTCCTCTCCAGAGGATTCTTGTAAGAATTAAATGACACAATTTATGTAAATATAAAGCAAAAAGCACAGTATCTGGTAGGTTTAAAATAATTGTTAGCTCTCTTCTATCAGTTATTTAAATATAAATTATCTCATGTGTTTGAGTTAGGTTTGACTCAAACTGATAAATTTAGCTACTTGTTAACAGCACGATTAAAAGTCTTTTGGGAGAAATTTAACAGACAGAATGGCTAAAATTGAGTTTTGCAATTTTGATTTTATTTTTCTGTGCCATCCCCATCTGTATTATTTTGCCATTCTTGTTGAAATCAAACAAATACTAATGGAATAAGGAATCATGCCATAGGGGTCTATTTTCCCCTTCATACTTTATACTATTCTGCCTTACAGCTTTTATAGGCCCCAACTATTCTTCTAGCTAAAACTTTTATCTTGCCAAATATACCTATAGTTAATTTCAAATAGAGTCTTGTCAGATAGATGTTAATAAAAACATCATTTTCCCTTATTGAATCATGATGGTGACTAGGCAGAATGCTGACAACATGATCCACTGATGTAGTGACTCATTCTTGGTATACAGAAGCTCCACTGCCTAAATCTGAACCCAACCTAGTCTGTTACACTCAAGTACTCTCCAGAGTGAGAGAAATGAAGTTAGCAAAAAGTGATAAGTTAAGGATTTGGAGTGAAGAACCCGCAAGAGATGGCATTCTGAAGCTGCAGAACTGATAAACAAATGTGTCATCTTATCAGCTCCTTGACTTGTATAAATAGTGACTAACAGGGGAACAAGATTGCCATATCCAGTTTCTGAACTCCATAGACCTACATCAAAAGTGGATTCTACCTAAAACAGTTACTGAATTAAGTACCTGAGCATCGAAGGGAGTGGGCCAGCTCTGTTGCCATAACTTGTATGATCAGACCAATTCGAAGTCGAAACATTTCAGCAAAGAGGCAAGGCTGGGTTCGCATATACATGGCAAGATATACCATTATTTCCTGCATAGAGTAGACATAGACAAAAAAATGGCCTCGATCTCACAATGTCTATTTTGTTGTCTTTGGAAACTGCTAGATCAATTGAAAACAAACTTTAAAATATCAATCACCAGATCAGGCTTTATAATTCTTCTCACCTGTGTAAGGATTGAAATGCTCATATCCCCTTCACTGGCTTCATCTATCAGCTGAGTGAGCACCTCATAGGGCAAAGGTCTGAGGAAGAAGACAGTGAAGAAAGACAATATTCTACAATCACTTAATTGTAAATATGTTGAAAAAATGAAGTAGCTTTACCCAAGTCCAAGTCACTGCCTCAACATTTCATCATAGTAGCATTCTGATTCTTTCAAACTTCAAAGCTCATTCATTGCCTCCTGAAACCACTCTGGCACATATCAACTCAGAGGAGCTCTGCTCTCTTCTTTCTAAACCTGGATTGTCTTCCTCCTTCAAAATGTATTTAAAATTCACACCATGATGTTCTTCTAGACTAGACTAGTCTTTTATAGTTAGCTTTTAACATCTGACAAATAACTATTATGGCTACAAAGTACTAAATTAATTTTAAGCAGTGCTTTTTTGGTAACACACAATGTTTCTACATATTTATGGGGTACATGTAATGTTTTTTTACATACATAGGATGTGTAATGATCAAGTCAGGGTTCTTAAGGTACCCATCACCTTGAGCATTTACCATTTCTTTGGGCTGGGAACATTTCAAGTCCTCTCTTCTCATTATTTTGAAATATACAATACATTGTTGTTAACAATAGTCACCCTACTCTGCTACTGAACATTAGAATGTATTTCTTCTTTAACCAACATCTCTTCAGCATCCCATTCTAACAATGGAATACTAGCTGTGTCTTTTTGAAACCATTTTATTACTTTACAGTCACACTTGATAGAGTTATTTGATTTTCTATAGTTTCATCAATTCACACATGTGCACTCACACATGCACACACACACATATACACACAGGTATACACACATCCTTCCACACTTCTGATTCTCCTGATGACACAAAACACTCTGGGGCATGAACTATGCCATCTTCTTTGGATTGCCTAGAGTGTCACAAAACTGATACAAAAAATACTCTTTTTGCCAGAAGCATGATTTTATGGGTTGATTTGTGTC